ATATATATATATATACATGCGTTACGTATTCAGAGATTAGTTGATCGGGCATCTGTTTGACAGTTATAAGTCACCTCTGTACTGGGGTTCAATTGCCCCTGAGTGTAGGTTGTGGTACTCGAATTGTTAGACTCCTTAGAGATGATCGGGACTCGTATAATAGCTTTTGTCCATCTATTATTTCTTGTTGCTGTTGAAAAGATTTATGAAAAGAATAAAGCTTTCATAAAAAAAAAATTAAAATTAAAAAATAATTTCAAAATGACTCAAAAGGCATAAAAGCACGTGGCACTCTGTAAATAATATGTTGCCGTTCAAGTGGCAACAAAAGGCCGCGTCGGACATGGTCCAATCTTTCTTTTGGAAATAACGCACGCCAGTTTTTAAAAATTCGTCCATAAAAATAATTATTTATAGACTTGTAATAATTAAATTGATAACAATATGTTTTTTCCGTAGCTTGAATTGTAATAGAATTAAAACTATATTTCTCATTTTATATTAAGCAAAATTTTAAATATTTTTGTCCTAATTATTTGTTATATTTTACTTTATTATTGCACTTGTTTGAAAGTGATGCGCGCTAGAAAATTCGCGGCGGTATAATAACAAATTATCGTCTTAGCGTTGTATGAAAGTTGAGTGCACACACTGATGGAATAGAAAAAAAAAAAACGGTGATGACTCTAGAAGTTTTTACGTGGAAAACCCGTTAGGGAAAAACCACGAGGTCGGGCCAAGTTGCAGAAATTCACTATCGATTGATGATTACAAAAATCCCTTGTTCCACGGAGGGGAAATGGTAACTATATTTCTCAGATTACAATGTCGACTGACGACGTCTGGCTGGTGGTGATTGATGACGGTAGGTGGAGGTTGATGCGGCGATCGACGGCGGTCGACGACAAAGGTCGGCGGCGATCGACAATGATTGGTGGTGATGCTGAGCAGTAGCTTCTCTTCAAAACCTCATACTCTCTTTCTAGACTTCCTCCTCCCTCATGAGAGGGATGAGACTCTATTTATAGTATTCTGGGTGCAATTAATGCAGAAATATGAACCATTTTGATCGAATAATGCGGAGAGTTTCCCTCTATCATACGGCGTTTAATGGACATTTGAGTCCCTTAATGATGTCAGAATTGAGTTATCTCGAGCTCGTTGGATTCGTCTTATCGAGCCTCTCGATTTTAGTATAAACTTGTCATATTTGATAATCGGTTGACTTTCCAAATGTATTCATAAATCTTCTAATTGTGTTTAATGACTTGATTTGGGCTTGATTTGACTTGGATTGTGCTAATTTTCATATCATTAGGTATGTCTCTTTGAACAGGTCAATTTGACTATAAGATTGCTGAAATCAGAGCTTTAGATGACTTTTAATCAAGCTTTGAATGTTTCTTGCTTAAAATATCATCTCGAGATTCATGTTGGATAATGAAATTTTTTCGGTGGTGTGTCAGTTGCCCCTCTATTTTCGAGCGAGACCCTTTTTATCGTCTGAAAATATCAATATTCAGAGTATTTATGTATAAGAATATGTATATCTTACTTAGTTCAGTAATTTTTATTCTTATATAAATATATAACTGACCTCTGCTTAGTTAGTTAGTATTTTTTGCTTTATGTGGGAGAGGGGGATTCGAATCCCGCCTAAAATAGAATAAATAATACCTTATAAAGGAATTTGAAGAGATTAAAGAATTTGAAAGAGCAAAAAAGAAGGAATAAAATTGAAAATATATTTTTTTTTGAAATATGAAAAGTTTTTATTAATTATTATTTATGAGCATTTAATGATTGCACTTCTTTTAGATTTCTATATTAATGTGCATTTATTGGCCAAGACTCTTTTTGAGCCTATAAATAAGAGCCTGAAGGAGAGGGTGGTGTGGCGGTGCATCTTGACGACGTCCTGGAGCGATGCATTGCGATAGTGCGACGCGGCGCGGCAGGGCAGCTCGTTGCAGCGACGCGAAGCAGTGGCGTGGCAGGGCAGCCAGGTGCGGGGGGGAG